CCGTCCGTTGGATCTGAACCTGCAGCTTCGCCGAGCCATCACGAGAGGACAGCGTGGGACAAGGGGAGGTAAGAAAACAAGTCCTGATGAATCATCTGAACCCTGAACCCATGCCTGAAGCCAAATACAACTCTTGAGCTTTTTAGTGATAAGAGCCAATAACGTTCCTTCTCGCTTACGCCAATCTGAACTGGATTTTCTACGACTTGCAGAAGAGTCCTATTTGATACCTCATCTTTCTGTGTGCTCCGTCTCCGTACTCACCGAAACAGTGATGACTCCAAAATCTCCATCTATAGCCTAGACAACTCTTGGGGGCTCCAGATTCATATCCACCCATCTAGTAGATGTTTTCCCCATATGTCACACCCAGGCACCTCAGACATAACGTGCAAAATGGAATTCATCATCTCTGCTTCTATCACCTCAATATGCTATATTCTTCATGCTTTTCTCTACCCTAGAAAAAAAATCACCACCCACCCAAATCACTCAAGACAGAACCTAGGACATCCTAGACCACTCTTGTCAGATAATCCTGATGGGGCTAAGGCCATGAATCACACTTTCTGTGTGACCTTGGGTAGAGTAATGGACATACCTGAGCGTTGGATTTTCATACAGAATTGCTAGGATTCAATGAGGTAATGTATGTAGAGCAGTAAATGTTGGTTGGTTCCATTCTCTATCACAGACATCTAGTGCACCACTAAATCCTAACTCAAAACTTCGTCCTCGGGCTTCCCTGGTGGCTCAGTGGTTGAGAGTCCGCCTGCCGATGCAGGGGACACGGGTTCGTGCCCCGGTCCGGGAAGATCCCACGTGCCGCGGAGCGGCTGGACCCGTGAGCCATGGCCGCTGAGCCTGAGCGTCCGGAGCCTGTGCTCCGCAACAGGAGAGGACACAACAGTGAGAGGTCCGCGTACCGCAAGAAAAACAAAAAAAACCAAACTTCGTCCTCACTGCCATTACCCCAGCTCAGAGCCTCACCATCTTTCCCCTGAATGACAATCAGATGTTTCTATCTCATCTTCTTGTCTTTGATCTCACCCTCACTCCAATTTGTCCTCCCCACTGCTACAAGACTGATCATCCCCTACACAGACCTGGTCATACCATATCATTCTTTGGCATCTGCAGAATCTATTCATTTATAGGACTCTCCACTTCAGCTATACTGAATAAATCACAGTTCTCCAAGTATGCACTGCTGTTCTCCAGTTCCATGACTTTGTACCTGACAATGGTTCCATTGTCCAGAATGCCCTTTCTCTCTCTATTCTCCCACCTGGAGAAGAGCTCATCCTTAAGACTTGGTGAAAAAAGTCACTGTAAAAATGGAAGGAAATAAACATGCTACAGTGGCTAAAGCAAATTCAACCTTGACCTCCCCAGTGTCAGAAAGGAGGGAAACTGAAGAAAAGTAAAAGATATAATTTTAAATATTTTTAGATGAAAAAAGCAAAGTAGGAATGGAGAGGAAAGAGTAAATTTAGGAAAATTTAATTTTGAGATAGGAGAGGACTTCCTAAATAAAACAGAAAACTTGAAGCCATAGAGAAAAGGCTTATAGATTTAACCACATAAAAATTAAACACTTTTGCACAATCAAAGGTACAATAAGCTGGGAAGACAAAAAAGGCAAGATATTTGATTTATTAACAAGAAAAGGATTAAAATCCAAAATTTAGAAAAAGCCTCAAAAATTGATGAAATCACCAACAATTCAATGGAAAAATTGTTAAAGGATTTGTCGGGCAATTTGAGGGAGTGTAAATTCATTAAGCTTTTTGTTGTTGTTGTTGTTGTTGTTTTAAGGGTAGACCTGGAAGAATCTATCAGCCCTTAAAGGGCACATAACTTTGATATTGAACGGTCTCCAAGATATAGGTTAATTTTTTTTAATTCCATAAGCAGAATGGGGTATTTAGCATACTACCATATTTATTTTTTTAGAGGAAGAAAACAGAAGATACATTTAATTGGCCTATAGACTCATGGACTGTCTCTAGAAGAATACACAAAAACTGGCAAAATTAGTTGTACCCAAAAAGGGAAATAGAGGGCTAGGGTAGGAGGCAGGTGTTACCTTTTATAGCCTTTGAATGTCATTGTTTATGCATACTACCTATCTCCAAACAAGTAAACCTAAGTAATTAAACAAATTCAATCTCTTTTTCTGCAGTCTCCAGATCCCAATACACACAGGGAATTCTGCTTAAATAAATGTTTAAAATATACATTCCCTTTGACCCACCAACTCCACTTCTAAGAGTAACTTTTATCCAGAAATACTCTACAAGTACACAGAGACTTATGTACAAGGATGTTCACTATAGAATTGTTTATAATAGATTAAGTTGGAAACAATCTAAAAGTCCCTCAGTAGGAGAATGTTTAAATGAGTTACAGTGAATCTGTACTATGAAATACTATGTAGCCATTAAAAAGAGTGACGTGTATCTATGATATTGATATTGGAAGATGTCCAAGTCTTACTGTTAAATCAAAAAAGTAAGTCACAGAGCATATAATTATATATGATCCCCGCTTATGTATTTTTAAAGGTATATCCAATATACTAAGGTTGGTCCTAAAGTTGGAAATGCAAATAATATTTTTATCATGTTTTACAATATAACATCAATAAACTATATATTATGTATTCATATTCACCTGTATTTCCAGACTTGGTGAGCATTTATTTCTGCATTGAAAAAGACCTAGAAAATAATACATGTACAGTGGTTACCTTTCAGATGGAGAGAGGGAGCTGAGGTGAGGTAGAGAGAACTTTAATTTATTTTCCTATATATTTTTATATTTTAAAAATCTTTTATAATAACTATACTTTTGAAAAATTACTACATTCCTGGCATGCTTTCCATTATTTATTCAAGGTCACAGGTTTGTAAGTGGCAGGGCTGGGTGCAGGCTAGCTGACTTTAGACTGTGCTCTTAATACGGTGTGGTCTTACCTGTTACTTGAGTATAAATCAAACACAAACCCAAATCAAATGCACCTCCAGGTTTTACCTCTGGCCACACTGAAAACTCCTTCCTTTACGCTCCCATCGTTCCCTGAACATATCTGCCGTGAATGCCATCCTCTGCCCTGCTGTGCATATAAACTGGCCAGCGAAACAGATAACAACTAGTGTGAGCACTCTCTTGGTGTAGGACTAGAATCACAGATGAGATTAGTACTGGCTGAATGAATGGAGTACTGAGTCATCAGGTCAATCCTTCTTCCAAACTCCAGGTAGCCCAGAGTGCTATCTCCAACTTGGTTGATGTTTTCTGCTCTCCAAGCAAAACAGCAAGAAGACACCACTTCTCCCCTCCAGTCATGCTTTATTGCATCTCAGAAGGACAGCCAAGTACTTCCTAAGGTTGCAAGCTGGCAGTCTGCAGGTCACAACCAGCCCGAACACATAATTTGGTTGCCTGGCACATTTCGAAAAATGTTTTGAATTAGTTGCCAACTTTACAAACATGAAGCTTTCTTCCATGAAAGTCTGCAGCTCCCCCCCAAATTCAGATCAAGCAGTGTGCTGGAACCTTGTCCCACCTGCTCCTGTCTCTTTATGGGAAGGCATGCTCTACACACAGCACCCCCGCACAGCCCTCCTCCTGCACGCAGGCTTCCTGATGGGCCCCAGCAGCAGAGTTTACATCACAGAACTGTACCTCCTTTGGCTGACATTTAGATCAGTTCCAGCTCAGCCCAACCCGTCCTCCATAGAACCCAAACAAGGAACGCCACCCCTCTGATCACACGGCCAGGCCCCATTCCTGACCCCCGCTGCACAGGGCTGCAACACAAAGAGCATGATTTGAGTACCTGAGGCTTGGACTTAGTTTCTAAATGCCAAGCAGGCCTCCTTGGGAAAAGTTCCTATTCTTCCCGTCACGGCGCTGGAGCAGTAGGGCAAAAGAACTTCCTGAGCTCCAGGAGCCTCCTGTGTGATGGAGCCCACGTGAAAAGCACTGCCAAGTCAAAAGACCTGAGTTCAGTCTGGGCTCCTTCCTTGCTGAGCAGAACACTTCTCTCTTGAGCCTCAGTTTCCTCGCCTATAAAACGAGCTCACACCACCTCACAGGGCTGTTACGTGAATGAGATTTTAAAGTGTATATAAAAGTGCTTGGAAGCATCTTAGAAGTATAAAATGAGTGTAGACTAAGACAGGAAAAGAGGGGCACTGTGGAAGAAGGGACTGAAATGGGTGGTTGGATCCCAGTTAAAGAGAGCTGGATGAAGAACCCCTGTCTGTAAGATCTGAGGTACCTCTCACCTCCTCTCTCTGCTTTGGGGGCCTGGGAAAGGCCTTTCCTAACCTGTCTCGGAGGGATGGTGAGGGAAAGCCACCTAGTATTTCCCGACGCAGTAGCTCTCGGAAGCTCATTTCCAGGTCCAGGTCACTGGGGAAGAAGAGGCTAGGCGGAATCTGCGCTGGCTGGATGGGGAAGGCGCACGGTGATGCCCATATTCCACCGCCACCCCCCAGCCCCCCTCCCTCGCCTGGTGTTACATTATCCCAATTGGACACATCAAGGAGCTGAAGTCCTTTCCCTCCAAAACCACACCACCTTCACAGGCAGGAGGATCAAATGACCTGCTCTTGAAAGCACTTTGCAAAACAGATGAAAGGTACAATAAAAAACAAAAATAGTCTCAAAGATGTGAGATAAAGTGATGCCAACACACCACTGTGTGGTTACTGGAGACCAGACCCTTCTGAAGCGCCCCAGAGCATCCCAGTTAACCAACAGACAATTCTCATCCCACATGCCTTTGTCAAAAGGTTGCACAGGAGTTAAGCTCTGGCCCAGAAGGCGGGCCAAGTGCCCCCGAAGCTAACCGAAACTCCCTCTCGAAGACCTGAGGAACAGAGACGCCTACCCGTCGGCGCTAAGGTGGGCCGAGCGACTTCTGGGCGCATCTTCCGCCCTGCTCGAGAGACAGCGCCCTGAGCCCCCACAGAAAAGATGTAGCTCACCTGGTCCTCACGGATTTCAGCTGAGGGTCGAGGCCGCTTTGCCCCACACACCTGTCCCGGAGCGGGGCGTAAAGCCCCTCGGCCCGAGGAGGCACGATCCCTATCAGCCGGGTCGCGGGCCAGCACGAAGGTCTTCCCTTTCCGGGGGTCTCAGAATGGGGCTTCGGGCGGCGCCGGAAAAGCGGGGCGGGCTAACGGGAAGGGCCTCTCAGAAGCCCCTGGCCGCAGGGGAGGGGCGCGCCCGCAAGATCTTCCCAGAAAGAGCCCCGGCTCCCCGAAGCAACGCGGAGTGCGCCCGGGAGGACAGTCCCCTACCTCCAAGGGGGCACGTAGAGAAGCTATGCGCCGTGGGGGCGGGGAGGCGTGGGGGAAGGGGACGCAGAGACCCCGCCGGGCCTGTGCCCTCGCGCCCTCCCGCCCCGCACAACGAACTCGGCCACACTCCAACCCTGCCAGCGCCCCCCCCCCCCCCCCG